CCACATTCCTAATGATGACATGGCACCTCCTCAACCTCAACTATATTAAGGCATCCTCGATCCAAGAGTGGTGAAACTTCATTAACCTATAGTATATATATAGGTTAGCCTTGATCTATTTCTCCACAATCTGAATCAACACCAATTTAAGGCTTTTTCTTCGTCTCCACTAGCTTTTCTCTGTCTTCTGCATTTTCTAGTCTTGATCTTGTTGGGGGTCTTGACATATATAAAGAGTAGATACACATTCTGAATGACCTCAATACTAGACTCAGAGAAGGAGAAAAAAGTTTGGACAATATGATGGAGATTGTGATGAGGAAGACTATTTACATTTCACAAACTATATATGAAGGAGAGATGTTTTTAGCGCCTTTCATAGGGGATAATTTTGAGTAACTTCCATTGAAGGACTTCGTCACCATTGAGTTTACAAAACTCAAAGATGACTGGCTACCAAAGAAGGCTACAAGCATGACTCTATTTGATAAATAGCTTGGCCAACCTTACTTCATGTGGCAAGTAGCTTTCAGTTAACATATAATTTCTCAACTATACTCAATTTGTTTATATTCTATTGTAGGTATCTCCAATATAAAGGTATTCCTCTTGAAACACCAATATGCAATTGACTCCTGAGGCATGGCATGAGAGATGGAGACATATACCTGACAACAATGAAGTTTCCAGCAGTGATAAAGTAAGTTTGTCCTTAGGAATTGGAATGCTAGATTATACACCAACCCACCAAGAGGCTGCAAGAGGCAACAATAAAGATGTGCCAAATGACGAAAATGATTGCTATGAGAATGTCAACATTGTCAGTGCCAATGGCAAAGAGAGTGAAGATGGCAATGAGAACAACTTGCAAGAAATTCCTCAGGAGGAAGTGGAGCAAGAGAACCAAGACGTACAAGAAGTTTTACCATAACAAAAGCGTGCAAATCTAGATATGGAGGAATTAGACAATAGTGATGACAATCATCCAAGATGTGCTAGTAACCAAGGAACTTATCGAGGTATATTTCTCTTAATTCTCTCATATTCTTAATTCCTCAAAATGGTTGCAACAAAAATTGTTGGGAGCAACTTCATTCCAGCTCGTCTTGATGCTTGAGAAGAGGACTTAGAGCAACTTACATCTATCACATGCCACATGACAGTATATAAATTTTTCTTAATTTCACATCTTATCTGTCTTCTTGCCCTAGATTTGTCCTAATTTTCCAGTGGCATTCCATGGTGAAGTTGGGATTTTATTGGCTCCTACAATTCATTGATGGCATCTTTCGAGGAGGATGTTGAGAATATGGCTACCAGCAAAAGTGGGAGCATTTTTGTCAGAAGATCCATAGGCAACCGCTCAAGAGTATAAACTTTATGCTCTTTGATATGCCAAGCTAGAACATCTTAACTAAAGACCATTTGAAGGATGCTTCTAACAGCAATTTTCCTTCACACAACTAGTCAAATTGCCTTCATTTTGCCGAATAACCCCCATTAGTTGTCCTGCTTCATAAGGTATACAACTCGAGTCAACTTCAAAAGGTTCTTTTTCAAGTGCATCATGGATAGTGTTGAGGTTGAGACCAAAGGCATCCTAGGCATGCCAGAAAAGGTAAGAAATCATTTTATGTTTTGGGTTGTCTCTAAAGTTTTATTATTTAGATTATGATATGGACTTACCATATGTTTTACAAAAGAGGAAATGAAGGTTTTCGTGATAGCAAATGTGTTGCACGGGTTTTGCCAAGGTATGATAACTCTACTAACATCATACCAAATCTCATAAATGACCACATCTGCAACACATTATTTGGGTATCAATTCCAATCTCCATCACTGATGCATGTCTTACTTGAGCTTTATTACCCAATTAGAGGTGTTATCATCAATTACACAATAGGTAGTGGTTCGATAGTCAAGGTAGCACATGACTTTAGTAAATTGGTGTTTGCAATTGAAGAATATGAGTTCTTCAAATGCTGTCTTTAGAGGTTTTTGTCCTTCTCTATCAATTGCTTCTAGGAGGTAATTTATGATGTTTTAAAAACTTATATGCAATATATATCTAGTTTTCTAGAAATCTTCCTAGGTATGCGTAGCACAACATATATAATATGAGTCTTCCCCTAATTTGAGAAGGAATCGTATAAAAATCTATTTATCAATGATACATTAAAAGACAATTGAATGCATCCACTTCTAATAAAAAAAGCATGTCACATATCAATGTGATAATGATAGTGACAATAACAATGTTAGTGTCAGAGATAGTGATAGTGATAATGTCAGTGTTAAAGATAATTACAATGTCAGTCTATCAAATTTCATAATTACTAGTATTATGAGTTCATTACTTATATAAGAGGGGGGGCAGGGGGAGGGATGGATAATATCATAGTGTAAGAATTATTAGTAGCTAAAACTTCAGTAGGATGGCCTAAAAGTACTATATTTAACACTTGTGGATGTAATATATACTAACAAAATATTGTTCCTCATTATAAAGCAATAATTATTGTGAGTTTTTAACTCTTTTTGGATTTTCTTATACATCCACTTATGCACACTTTCCACACCAATTCTTGGGCAATTGTGACAATGTTCTTGAAAAGTTTCTAAACCCATGTAGCCTTTTGTCTTATCCAAATAAAAGTACCATATAGGACATTAAAGATAATATGTATTCATTCTTTCAAAAGTTTCGCAAAATTTTGAAAAAACATCTAACATCACTGTTGAAACATATGAGACAATCCATCTTTAGTAACAATATCTAAAACATTATTTAGAAAAAGGATTTTTTACTTAGGGCTATAAAAGGAAGAGCCTCACAACAATTGTTAAAGGTGGAATATTGGTAAAAGTTGGAGATGGAGGTGGAGACTCATATAAAATGTATGGGAACCAAATGAAAATAGCAATAATAGTCTCTTTAGTCATTCTTACACTCTAAACAAACTAAATTTTCAATGTTGAAAACATTTTTTATTAATATTTATACTAAGAAAAAATCTAGAGGTTTTTGAAAGTTTAGATTGTCAGTCTTAAAAATGATACTTCAAAATTCTATAAAGACATTATTATATATGATGAAGTGTTAACCACAACATTCCCAACTTAATTTGCTTTAACATATTTGGCTTTGCAAAAAGCAAAAAGCTTCAGAAACAAACACCAAATTGCATTATCAACTCAGATGGCCCTTGAGGAAGATGATGCAATTATTGAAAAGCATCATTATAATCATTAACATGTCTAAATGCATGTTTAAAAACATCTGGGAGAATGCTCCAATCCTCATGAATGGGTACACTCAAACCATTATACTATTGCAATGCCATCCTTTAAAGACATATGGAAAAATTTACACAAATGCCAAGTATCATCCCAAGAATGATATGTGGCAATCACTGTAAAGTGATCAAACCAATATTTTAAATATTTTAATATTTTTAAATTTAGCTAAATAATTTAATTTTTATTATAATGAGTACCATAAATTAATTATGACAAAATAAGGTTTTGTTTTAGTATTTCATACTCAAGATTTACATATAGATTATAATACTTATATTTGGCAGCCAAAGATCTACAAAGGTTTCTTGATTGTTATTTTGTTCGTCTATAATAAAATTCAGATGTTGTAAGCATTCAACATTGGATGCCTCTTAGTTGTGCCTGACTATCATCTCCTTGTAGTAAATGCGGAGGATACCTCGCTCTGGGAGTGATCCCAATGTTCTTGACTTATGGTAAGGAAGAAAGCATCAAACAAACACACAAAATTCACAGCCAACTTACAAGACAAATTCGTTCTTTATGGAGTGGTCAATCTGCTCCTGACTTTTTGGATCCTTGTTTCTCAAGAAACCAATAGTTAGCTAGGGTTTAGGGTATGGCTGCTTCAGCTACATCGAGGCGCTGGCCGATCTATCTCTACGTTCCCAATCTCATTGGTATGCACGATTCGCTTGATCGCCTCAATCTCTACGTTTTATTTTGTGGCAGGGTACGCGAGAATCCTCATAAACATCACGGCTTTTGCGATATGCTTTAGCCACAAGGCTCTTTTCGTGGCGCTCTACTTCTTTAGGTGAGTTTCACAACAATGCCGTCATACATTTTTCTCAAACCCGCCCGCAGTTTCGTTTGCGATTATTTCGATGGACGCTTTGCCCAATTGCTGAATCAAAGTGAGCGCCTTGTTGTTTGTTTTTTTTTTTTTTTTGGCCTTCTTGTGTAAAACAAAGCTTTGCTCTACAGGGTCGACATTTGGAGCTGTTCTCGACATGGTCACGGATAGGTAGTGCCGAGAATTCGATTCAATCAAGCTATAAATCGCTGTTCTTTCTTTGTTCTTGTCAACAGGGTCAGCACTGCAGCACTTCTCGTCATCCTTTCGCATCTCTTCTCGTAAAATTTCTCAGTTTTTCGCTTGGTTTGAGGGATTTTTCTTCTGATAGTTTTCCATACCAGGAACGCATATCTCCTGTTTGTGGGGCTTCTCGCCCTCGACATCTCCAGCCACTGGCTCCAGATGTACAGGTTTGTTCTTCACAAAACGATTGAAAATACAAATGCGGCTAAACGTCTTTCATTTTTTCTTTCGTAGTACGTTTCTCTCCAACAAAACCAGCCACAAGGACGTGAACGATAGCAAGAGCCTTCTTCTCCGACTCTACTATCAGTACCGAGCTGTGATGGGCTACTGCGCTATCGGCGCAGAGGTTCTATACCTCGTCTTGTATCTCTTGGGAGATGGCTCCAAGGATCTCACAGAGGTATGTCTCAATTCTCGCCTTAAACTCTCTCGCATTCCATGTTTGATTTTCTTGTTTCAATCTAGGTGGTGCTCACGGCTGCTGCCGAGAAATCAGTGTTGTTCTACGTGGGACTATTTGCATTTCCCGGCTGCGTGATCAAGCAGATAGTAAATCTCGTCCAGGTGAAGTTCTTCTTGCTTCTTTGCTTAGTTCTCACTTGGGTTGTGGTTTTCCAGATGAAAAGCGCGGCAGATTTGTGTGTGGTGCATGACTTGCAAAAGCCGCAGCAAAAATCCAGCTAGAAATCGGTGGTTTTTCGACGAAGTATAGCGAGTTTTTAAATCTAAGAAGCCCGCCCTATGGATAGATTTTAGGGCTCTTCAGTAAGAGCTAGGGCAGGATGGATGCGCTTGAGGAGAGTGTCTTGGCGAGCGTCTGGCGCCAGGGTGGATTCGCGTTCTGCCAGCTGATGAGGAAATGCCGTAGCGATCCTTCCATGGCCGAGGAGGCGCACGATCTGGCGTGGGAGCAGCTCCATTTGGGGGATTGGCACCAGGTCGATTGTGCTTGGCGGGACGGGTATGCGTTGGCTTGCGTGTACTGGGCGGAGGAGCTGCGCAGAAAGGGCGATCACGCTGAGGCCACCAGAGTTTTGGATATGGGATTGATGATGGGAGGCTTGGCTTTTCGCCCCCGGCTCAATGCAGCGATCTCTTCGCTTTCGCAAGCTTCGGAACCACCCTCTGCTGTTCGTGGAGACGATCAGCTCACAGTCCAGGTAGCCTCTAGTACTTCTTTTTTTCCTTTCGTGTATGATGCTCATCCTTTGATATTTTTTAGGCTGAAAGCTTGCCACCGGGATCGTTGCAAGGACCACCAATGCGAACTATGGCATTTCCATCGATCCAAAAGTTTCTGCAAGAGCTCTTTGCACCGGGTGTTCCTGCGATCTTGACAGACACAATGGCGCATTGGCCTGCGATGAAGAAATGGAAAGACTTGAGCTACTTTCACAAGATCGCTGGAAACCGGACAGTTCCAGTAGAGGTAACACCGTTGCATCCTTTCACTTTCCTCGTCTTGAGCGAAACGTTCGATCAGGTAGGCGAGACATACTTGGCGGAAGGCTGGAAGCAAGAGCTCATGACTATGTCTCGCTTCCTAGATCGAATCTACGATCCTGGAGACTCTACTTCGAGAGCATATCTCGCTCAGCATCCGCTGTTCGATCAGGTGTGGTTTTGAGTTCCTTGTTCCGTCTTAAGTTGGTTCAAACCGTTGATAGGATTAGGCTGCCAGATTCCCGAGCTACAGCGCGACATAGTGACTCCAGATTACTGTGCTTGTGGCGATGGAGAGCTTCACTCGATCAATGCCTGGTTTGGTCCCAGCGGTACCGTCACACCTTTACACCACGACCCTCACCACAACTTGCTCGCCCAAGTCGTCGGTACCAAGTACGTGAGGCTTTACTCTCCAGAGCTCTCGGACTCTTTGCACCCCTTCAGCGATCCAATGCTGCAAAACTCTAGCCAGGTATGAGTTTGTCAGGTCTTTCATCAGTGCTGAAAATTCTCTCTTGTCCTTTCCAGCTCGATCTTGACAAACCAGACTATGAGCGCTTTCCTCTGGCGGAGAAGCTAGCTTTTGTCGACTGTGTTCTTGGAGAAGGCCAGATGCTTTACATTCCACCGAAGTGGTGGCATTACGTCAAGTCCCTCAGCCCAAGCTTCTCCGTAAGCTTTTGGTGGCGATCTTCCTAATGAAAGAACGTGTGCTCGATACGAAGTTTGAGCATGGAAAGAGTGGTGGATCAAGTTTTCGTGGGGGAGTGCGAGGGCTACAAGAGGAAGGTGGTGGCGCTTCTTCACTCCAATAAGATCTACAGTGTGGTGAATCTGAAAGAGTGAGGATCTCCGTGGCTTGGGGATGAGCCAGGAAGCGAGCGACGCAGAGGTCTTCTCGCTCCAGGTAAGAAAATGCCCAGCGAGTGATCATCTAAGAAAATGCCCAGCGAGTGATCATCTAAGAAAATGCCCAGCGGATCATCACGAATACGAACGTGTGCTCGACCCGTTTGCTCTATGAGGGAGTCGCCAAGCTTCTCTATAAGCTTTTGGTGGAACTCTACCAGAATATGCGAAATTTACTGATGGAATGTTCTCACCTTGTAAGAACCCTATTTTGTGTTGAGAATGTGTGCTCGATGAGGGAGGGGTTTTAATCGCGGCGGGGAATGGCGTGTGTGGCGCCGATGCCGCACAACATTGCGCTTGCTAGTCCTCGCGATCGCCTCGTTCGATTGGGCGCGCTCTGGTCTGCCGCTCGCCTAGCTTCGTCTTGGTGGCCGCGCCTCGATAGGCGCCTTTGCGCCGCTGCAATCCAGGTATTTCTCACATCTTATAGGTAGACTACATTTTTTTTCCGTGAGCATTCGTTAAGTTTTACTGGTTTGTCACTTCGTTTTCAGGATAGAAATGTGGCTGGAGTGAACGATCTCTCTGGGCTGCCTTCTCAGCAGCGCTTCTTTGATGTGATCTTCCTGGGAACAGGGACTAGCGAAGGTGTTCCAAGAGTTAGCTGTCTTACAAATCGCTATAAGAGATGTCCTGTAAGTTATCGAGTATCATCTTTTGCATTTCTTGTTGTCGCTCACGATGATCCGATCTTGTACAGGTCTGCTTCGCTGCCTTGCAGGTCGGCAATAAGAACAGGAGGCGGAACACAAGCATTATCGTACGCTACCCAAGGCGCGATGGAACCAGGATGAACATACTCGTTGATGCTGGCAAGTACGGCGAAATCTAAAAACTATCATCTGTGAGTACTGTATTGTTCCACCACTTTCTGTTCTGGTGTTGCATTGGATGACTGACATTGCTAACTTGCGCTGGTCCCGTGACTGAATTCTTCGTGTTCCTATGTAGGTTCTTCTACCACAGTGCGCTTCAATGGTTTCCATACTACGGGTACACCTTTTTTTTTTCCTCCCTCTCTCTCATTTCTCGAGATCTTCCTGACAGATTAAGGCACCTTGACGCTGTTATTATTACCCATTCTCATGCGGATGCTATTGGCGGTAAGTTTGTAAAGTTTCTGGCACTCTATTTCAACTGTGCAAGTGTTTTTTCAGGTTTGGATGACCTTCGCGACTGGACGAACAACATACAAGACTCGATTCCAATATATGTCGCCCAAAGAGATTTGGAGGTGTTGTGAGCTCTTTACGCAGACGAGTGAAAGCTCGACCGAATTCGTTTTTTGCAGGTCATGCGAAAAACTCACTACTATTTGCTTGATCCGACCGTGATCACGGAGGGAACGCAAGTTTCCAAGCTTCAATTCAAAGTGATTGATGAACAGCCATTCTTTGTCGAGGACGTGAAGGTCTGGAATATGTTATCCTCTGTTTCTTTAGTTTGATGATTGCTGGACTGCTCAGGTTACACCACTGCCGGTTTGGCACGGCCCTGGATATCGTTCTCTAGGATTTCGAATAGCAGACATGTGTTATATCAGGTAAACAGCAAATTTACAGTCGGACAGGGTCCTTGTTGCTTGCGTGTCCACTTGCAGCGATGTGAGCGAGATTCCAGAGGAAACATATGCACTTCTACAAAACTGCGATTTGTTGGTTGTCGTAAGTTCGCGTTCTTCCTCTAGATCGACGTTGTTAGTGGTGTTTCTCACGATCATGTCATGCAGGATGCACTGAGACCCGATCGTCCCAGTACGACACATTTTTCTCTTGACCAGGTTTGGATTTGTTCTTGTAAATTCGCAAAAGAGACATTCTTCTCTTCTGTTTTTCAGGCTTTAGATGCTGTGAAAAGAGTACATCCCAAGCGCACGCTCTTTACAGGTACTCGTCTTTTTCTATCTTGGTTTTGAGAGCTTAGCTTTGGTTTCAGGGATGATGCACACGATGGATCACGACAAGGTAAATAAACAATTAGCCGACTTGAAACATTCCGAGGGCCTTGATGTCCAGCTAAGTTTTGATGGACAGCTCGTGCAATTGCGGCTGTGATCTTTTGAATTGTTAAAGCCTGTATTTGAGATTAGTTCAAATCTTCACAAAGGGTGGCAAGAGGGGATCTTAATGGAGTGTGCCAGGATGGCATTTGCTTCGAGAAGGGATTTTGTATCTCGGTATGTTGTCTTGGAAATGCAAAGGGATGTTTTTATGAGCATTTCGCCACCCCGAGACGATTTGCAATAATAGTTGAGGATGCTCAAGAATGCTGTCCCTGGATGTCTTAAGCGGCAGAAATTACCCCAGGTGGCCATTCTCATCTCTTCCAGGCAAAGGTATCCTTCCAGATGCTTTTCTCCTGATAGAGCAGACCTTCATCAGAAAAAATTATAAGACAATCGCCATTCGTTCAGCTCTACAATCGGTTCAAGTTAGACTGTCACTATTCCAAGCTGGTGGAACTGATCATCGGCAAGTCTGGGAACAAACACGAACCATTTCCAGGCCATGCCAGGCATCCAGTCCGTCAAGATGAACTCGGCGGCGCTCGCTGTTCAGGTGAGCGGCAGTTCATGCTGTTGTCGTGGAGATCAGGAAGCTTGCAATGAGCTCAGTCAGCATGAAGCAGGGTTTCGTTCCGGATTTCACCATTTCCAATCAGGCTTAATCATGTGAAAGTTAACGACGATACAGCATCGCTGATATCTTCTGCGTATGATCCTGACAAGGTAGTCCATTTGTGGTACAGGTATACCCTTCTTTTTTTGTTTCTTCTCTTATACCTGCCATTTTATGTGCTTTCAGGCAAGGCGGACGGTTCGAACCAGAATCACAACCAAGACGACAAAAGAGAGCATGAGTCGCAATGACTATAGCAACCTCATTTCTAGGTACGTTATGGGATCAGAGAGCATGAGTCGTACTGACTATAGCAGCCCATATCCAGGTGCTTGTATGCGATCAGCACTTCAACTTCAGAAGGAAGTCGAGGTTAAACTTGGTAAGACTCTGTTTTTAAGCGAGTGGTGGCTCTCTAGAGCCTTATAGTTTATAATATCTAATTAGAATCCAAGCATTGGGTTTCGGGGGGCTTTCCCCGCTGATCGGTGCCTCTTGCTGGAGGAGATCTGCGAGGGCTGGATCATTGAGCGAGGAAATCCAGGCATCCAGCCGCTTGGTCTCCAGCGTGCTTGCTATAACCACACCCGGCAATAATACAATGGTTTCTCTTTGTCTACACCCATGTGGGATGAGAAGAAAATGCGAATCGAGAATTCCAGTTACTTCCCCGTCTTTAGAATCGATTGCCATCTCCGATTCTTGCTGGAGGCTCTACTCGCTCCGATTCATCAAGCTCGTCCTCGACGAGGCTTTAGTTTCCTCTATACATTGGATCTCTCGTCGACGATGAGAACAGCAGCTGCAGCGCCGTCCAGATGAGCACTTGGAGACAATGCCCTCTGCCTCGTTCCTCCACCGAAGTCCTACAAGCTCGGACTACCCGGCTAGGCTCCACAATGGAGTGTAACTCTTTGTTGAAGAGGAAAGCTGTAAAGCTCAGCCAACTCGAACCACTTTAGCAGCATTGTAAATCTCCCTTTCAGTCAATGGTCATGTTTTTTAGCCTTGTTAGAAGAAATTCAGAGTAAATGTCGTTGTAGTATAGTGGTGAGTATTTCCGCCTGTCACGCGGACGACCCGGGTTCGATCCCCGGCAACGGCGAGATTTTACATGTTCGACAGATCTGAAGCATCTGAGGCGCTTGGATCTGGATGCATATAGCATCATGCTAAGCTTGATGTTCATTCCTTCAAACGGAAGAAGGAATTACAAGACAATAATTGAGATTGGGATGATTAAATTAATGTAGAGGATGGGCTTTTTATTTCCAGAACAAGAAAGTCAGATATATAAAGAGAGTGCTTTCACGTCTTTTTTCCTTTTTTGTTTTTTCTTTTTTTTTAGCTCAGGTCTAAATCTCTTAACCTCTACTTGATCACTTTCCTATGACGCTGAGTCATAGTCTTGAGAATCTGGACTACCTAAGCAGCACATAGTCGAAACTAATAACATGGAATGTGTGATTCAGCGTCCCAAGGTCACAAGCTTTAAAGGGAAAAGGCCACAGCCAAAGAACACTTGAAACAACACCATAGCAAGTTGCTAGCTAGGAATTTAGTCTGACAGATGAGTGTTTTCCTTCAGTAAGAATAAATAGGATTGTGCAAGCTTCGACCGTACTACGACGGAGAATCTAGCTCTAAATCTTCCATGTTCCACAGTTATCTTCGAAGTACAGTCCTATGACATTAGAAGCTCAGGTATCCCAGAACAGCATCAACTCTTAATTTGAGCGAAAATTTCAGGGACGATAAGAAGTGGACCATCTTAAGCCCAGTAGACAAAGAAAGTGCCATCAGAATTATGTTGGAGATTTTGATTTGTTCTTTTGGGAAAAAAAATTAAAGAACATCTTTGGATTATCAAGGGATTGCATGGCATAATTTCACAGCTTGCGAGCCAGTGATTCAACAAAGTTCCAGCAAACAAAAGTAAAACTTTCTGTATGGCTTCTGGCTGAGGGGATAGTATTGATATGAGGCGACACATAGGTTGAAACGCCTTGGATCGGTTTTTCAAATGATGTCAAAGTCAGCTTTCTTTCCTGTTCATAATACTTGATAAGTATCATTTTGATAATCAAGTGGCAGCTCCACCTGATGGACAGATCCATCTCATGACAAGCAAATTTTTTCAAGGCAGCACTGTTGTCACAGTGGCTCACAGGTTCTCCAACATCTTGCATGCAGGTGGGTTCTTCATTTCCCTCTTTTCTTATCATGATTCAAGAGATACAGTCAAGTTTGATACGCCATCGAGATTTGCCAATTTTTTGCGAGAGTATCAAGACTTAACGCGATTAGATTAGGTTAATGAGCATCCCCGTGTACGAATTCGATTGCAAAACGAAACGAAAGTTCTAAAGTATTATACACCTTGCATTTTCTCGAGGAGAAGTTTTACCTTCGGCCTCTTTCACCGCACAAGGCATGCGACACATACAGTGGACACGAGCCGAGCCGGGAACTAGCTTTTGCCACGTACGAGCCTTATACGGTATAAATATCTGCCATCTCAAATGTAAAGAAAGTAGTTCATTTGCACAGTTTATTTTTTCCTGGCTAGCTCGCAGCTCAAAAACAATGGCACTCGTCTCAGGCAGCAGCATCGCAACTCTCTCTTCTTCCTCTCTCATCTCCAACAAGCTCCACCTCCAATCCCAATTTCCCACGAGCTCCAGCTCGCGAAATCTAGTAGTGAGAGCGTCCTCGAACAAATCCAAGGATGGTGGCGATGGCGGCATCAGTGGCGTCCTCGACGACACCAAGAAGGAGATCACCCGCGAGGAAGTTCTCAAGAACCAGGCCGAGAACGAGTCGGAGAAGCGCTCAGTGTTTGGCGCCGTGCCATCGTCCGGATCGCTCTATCCCAGGCCAGAGGTTGAGAGGCGACCAGAGACTGGCGATCGATCATTCCCCAGCTTGATGGCGTTCGATGGAGCCGGCCCAGAAACGATTAATGGAAGACTGGTAAGAGATTCTTCGCGTTTTTGCAAGCAACTAACGTGAACTTGACAAGCAGGCAATGATTGGATTGGTGTGGGCATTCGCGGTGGAGCGAATGACGGGACAAACCGTGGCGGAGCAGCTCTACTCGCCGGGGAGCACTGGTCTTTTCCATTTCTTGGCAGTGGCACAGCTATTCGCCTACGCGTCGCTGGTGCCCATGTTTAAGGGCGAGAGCCCCGACAGTAGATCAATTGGGCCGTTTAGAGCCATGGCAGAGCGCTGGAACGGGCGAACAGCGATGCTTGGCTTCCTTGCTTTGGTGATCACCGAGTTTTTCACCAAGATTCCAGTGTTCCACATGATGTAAATTTCCCTCAAAACGTAATTGCCATTCTTTAGCAACTTAAAGTAGGCCTAATTACAGGTGGTCGGACCATGTAAACGTCCGCCTATGAAGCCAGTCTACAGTTGGTCTCGGTTTCAGACGGTCTTCTTGTGTGATGTAAATTTGTTTGTGTTTAAATCATTCCTGTTCCCAAAAGTTTCTCTGGTGCAGGACGAATCCAAGTTGCGACTACAAGGAATTAAAAATGTCCATTGAATGCCATTTGTGGCAAAAAAAACTTCTTTATCAAGTCATGCTTTGTACTTGCTAATTTATGTTTTTAGTATTAGGGACCTGGTAGTTCCCAGGTCCCTAATAGTGCACTTCATTAATTGATGGAGACATCTTTCACCTTTTTGCTGCTTGAGCTTTTATATAGCATTACATACCATTCATTCACATATACTGTTTACAAGGTCGCCCAGCACCCTCCAAGAAGCATGAGACTGATGGGTTCAAATATTCAGCTGTGTATTGTCTAATCTCATTGGCATCAGTGTCGTGTGCATAATCTTATAATCCAAATATAAAGTTGACAAAGAATATACCTTAAGTGTCTTTTATATATATATATATATATAGCATTATGCATAAACAACTTGAGTTTCGAGCTGTGGCATACTTTCAAAAACATGTTTTTTGTCTAGCAATTGCCTTTTCTTGGTATCGTAGGATGTAGCTCAGATGGTAGCATGCGAGAGGCACCGTGATCGATACCTGGCATCTCCATTGAAGCCTAGTGTAGGAACTCAATTGGAAGCTAGGTTTGCTCTTTGTTCGTTCGTTCACTCTCTCTTCTTCCTGCTTTCTCGAAGAAAGCGAAGAGTAGATGCATGATGCCTCCCAGGGATGCTGCATGTGCGGATGCCTTTTGCGAGGGAGTACATGTACCGCAAGACTGTCACGGGGTGGAGCGAAGCTAGAAATTCTGCTGATCAGTTTGAAGGACTGCTTTTTGTTTCTAGGCCTCTGTGGATTTTGATGAAACATGCAACAGAGATCAAATTTCACGTTATTTATTAATGTTTGATCCGTTGCACGGAGCCACATACAGCCTTTTGTTTTTCAATAGTCTCTATCTAGGCGATCCGCATTTCACGTTTTCCATGCAATTATCAACCAAAACTCAGAACAAGATTATGTTTGGTTCCAAAAAATATGTTGTGTTTGTGTGGAGGAGGCCACATTTCAAACACTAGCTTTCTCAACGCTCCCCAGTTTGTCATACATTGATCACATCGGCTCCTGGTGCCAGAAATTCTCGTATGGCTTTGTAAGCGCGGTGGGAAAACCCGGCCGGGCTTCTCGAAGCATGAGAACGCTTGCAGACCTTTGCTTCATCGCGGGACGTCTGGTCGTTGTGGTTCGTGATTTCCTGGACTCTTGAGTGAAAACTCTTCCTCAAATAACAGGAACTGAGCCGCTCCATGGTGACGGACATGGTGAGTCCCAATATCTTCTTTTACTCGCTTCTGACACTTGCTTCCTTCCTGCATGCCGGGACATTTCTGCTTTCTCTCCTCCAGATCACAAACCAATCTCCATGCTGTGGCCGCTCTAGCGACGAAAAGCCTGATGGATGGATAATCTGTTCAATTTGTGACCACGACCAGGAAACTCCTGAATGCTTCACCACTTAAAACCAATCGTTCCCGAGCCAGAAGTTCTCGATGATGATAGCTCATTTCCAGCTGAAGAGGCTCCTGCGTAGTAACCACCGTTGCGTCTCGAATATCTTTCATCCGGATTGGAGTCGGGTTGCTTGTCAAATTCCGACTTTGAAAGCTGAGACGCTGCTGCATACCAAGCTGATAGAGTGATGCCTCTAGAGAAGCCAAATGACTTTTCTGGATAATGTAGTCTCTCGCACACGTTGAACGTCGGACGTCGAGATGAGTCTCCAAAACGACTCGACAGTCCGTGCCAGTAGTATTGCAGCTGCTTCGAATGAGTGATGTTGGTGCTGTCTGAAGGGAAGAGCCACGGCAGTTTGCGATGATAAGAAATGAGGATTTCCTTGGCGGAGAACTTGTTGCATCTTCTTCCAAACTGCAGCTCCGACTCTTCCTCTGGAAACCCGCCCCTGTGTGGCATCTCTTCAAGATCTTCTTCTTTGCTCCTCTTCAAGATCTTCTTCTTTGCACATTTCTTGCTCCTCCAAATGCTCTTCTTCGAATGATGTGGAGGACTCGTCCAGAAACAATACACCACTGACCAGCAGCTGGCCGCGGATTGACGGAACGGCTTTTCTTCAAAACCAGCCCGTGGTGTTTCTTCCAAATCTTCTTGCTGCTCCAAGTGCTCTTCAAATGCGGAAGACTCGTCCAGAAACAGAGGAGTTACATCCCCTTCTGAGCAGCTGATCACGGACTGAGCACAATCTTGCTGTACGAGACAACAGTACGATCTAGCTGCTCACCTTCCACCCCTTCTGAGCAGCTGATCATGGACGGAGTGACAGCGTCTTGATTGGACGATTTAGTCGTCACGGCCACCAAAGGGATGGTCTTGTTGACGCTGTTGATCAGCTGCACAGCAAGAGTCTTCAACTCCACGTCCACCATTAAGTTGTAAAGGAGCTGTATGCCGTCCTGATCGAGTCGCTGAAAGAGAAGAGTTCCATATTGTATGGAACTCCCACTGGGCCACATTTTTAGTAGCATTTTGAGTTGCTAAGGCAGGAAGCAAAGATCGCGAGTGAGTTGCATTTCGTGTGCCGCATTTTGACATTCTCCTTTGCAGTGGATGAAAATCAAACGGCTCGCAGAAGTGGTTCTTGCAAGAACTGCAAAGAAATGAAAATGGCTTCCTACAAAGATGACAACAGTGAGAATCGATAGCACTGGCTAAAGAACAGTCTACCTCGGTGCGTATAGTTCTTGATCCTTGCAGAGGACAAGTGTTTAGGTACCTCGTGAATAGCTCTCTCACGTCTTTCACCTGATTCAAGCAAGTAAACACTCAAGTCCCACAAGTTTGATAGCGAAGCAGTACCGTGGATGATCCGTCAAGCTCCAGGCTCTCCTCTAGACCAGCTGGACCTCCGAACACGATAAGCGCGTGCCTGTGTAAGCCATGAATAACACAAGCAAGAGAAACTGCACGTAAACCTCACCTAAAACTAGGAACGCGAAGATCGCTAGTCAGGACTTTCTCTCCGTGCTCTGACGTACCAATTGTGTAGTCGTAGCCTTCCTTGAAAAGTGAAAAACACTTGAGATAATAGATAAGAGAAACCGGTTTGGCACCTCGAAAGACGAATCGGAGAAAGCTTTAGTCAGGCGATCCACGACACGAACTGTATAGCCCCAGTACAGACCAGCACTCTCTCTCGGTGTGCTGGAAGGGACGACGGACAATTTCTTTCCTGAAATAAAGATCAAAGGGAAACACAGCGATTAAACAAGTGATTGTGAACTTTTTAGCGACACCTCGCTTCAGATTTTTGTCAGTAGATCCCATAGCGACAGTAATCCTGGTGCCTGCCTTTACAGTCTCCTGAATCAAAACATCCTGCACACAAACATGACAATTACTCATACTCCCAAGTTCATCGATAAACAAGGAAAAAGCTTACCTGGCCAAGCCCAACATCAGCATAACATCCATTGCCACGACTCTTCTCGAAGCTTTTGTCCAAAGCAACTCCTACACCTCTCAAGACTTAAAACGCGAAAGGATGAGCAACGCTACCTTCTCGGAATGGCAACATGCTTGCTTTCGGAGATGATGAGGTGAATCCAGCGGAGGCAATTGTCCCTGAAGAAGCAAAGGCATGCATCAGAAACAAAGCTCGAAAGAGTTCTAGCTTGGTTACAAAACCGCATATCGGAGGCTCTTGTGCATTGGAACGAGCGCTCGCCGCAAGTACTGAGGAACCTCCAAGTAGCGAAGAACTCGAGCAAGAAACTCGCCACCACTCGCCTCACCCGTCTCTCTTCCCCATCCGGTCCTCTGGAACGAGCTCGCGGAGCTCTCTCCATCGTCGAAGACAACGATCTACAAGAAAATCTATCGCATGCTCTCGAGAAAGAAAGAAAGAAAGAATACCTCATCGATTCGAAATATCGTGGCAGCCCTCGCGATTTGCCCCGCGAGCTAGAAAGAACCAAAGGAAAGATCACTGCCATAGAGCCCCGAGCCAGCGCTTACCCGTGTGGCGAGCTCTAGCGACTGTGCATTGTTGATGATCGATCCAGACACGGCCAAGCTCACAGTGTACTTGCGACCAGAGGAGCCGGAATCCAGCGCTTGCGAGGAATCGGCATCGCGCTGCTCCTCTCGATCGCCATGCTTCCTCTTCCCCATCGCGAGCTATAAACCCTAAAGTAAACCCGTGAATGTTGTGGGGCATTTTGCGGCATAAAGATCTCGGGCACAAGCATCGCCGCAGCTACTCCCGGATCGCCAGGAACAGGAAATTCGACCGATTGATCGCGGGCACGTCTCTGGCAGCGCGATCGGCCGACACGAATCTGCAAACCCTAAAAGAGGAACTGGACCAGGTGCTAGAGGGGAAGATCCGCGGGAATCCAACGCTCTACGGCGACCTTTTGCGAAGAATCCGCGCCGCCAAGGCATTGCCAGAGGGCATCCGGCTCCACAACCACGTCGCCCAGACCCAATTCAATGGCGACATCTACGTGTGGAATCTCCTCGTCCAAATGTATGGCTCTTGCGGATGCCTCGAGAGGGCATGCTCGGTGTTCCAAGAGATCTCTTCGCCAAATAGCTTCTCGTGGAACATCATGGTCGCAGCATATGCCCAGAACGGGCATTTCCACGGGGCATATTCTACGTTCAAGAAAACGCCCGAGAAGGACATCGTCACCTGGTCGACGATGATCGCGGCGTGCGTCCAGAACGGCCAAGGGCGAAGAGCCCTAACTCTCTTCCGGGAGATGGACATCGAGGGGACAACTCCGACCAAAGTGGCGTTCCTCAGCGTGCTCGAGGCCTGCGCTGCTACTGGGTCTGTGAAGGAAGGCCGGCAAATCCACGCCGAGGTCCAATCCTCGCTAGAGCTCTCCCGGGATGCAAAGATCCAGACCGCCATCGTCAACTTCTACGGCAAATGCGGGCTGCTGGTGGAGGCGCGATCGATGCTCGATGCCGCAGAAGATCGCTGCATCGTCTCCACCAACGCGATGATCTCGGCGTACGTCAAGCACGGCCAGATGGATCGAGCCCGGGAGCTGTTCGACTCGCTGGAATCCCCAAACGTGTCGACGTGGAACTCCATGATTAAGGGGTATGCCCAGCTCGGGCATATCGCCACCGCCGTCGATTTCCTCAAGCGCATGGACTTGGACGGCATCCAGCCCAACACCATGACGCTGCTCACGCTCTTCGACGCCTGCGCGACCATCCCGGCCCCCGCCGAGGGCAAGCTCGTCCACGCCAGCGTCGATCGGGGCGTCGACCGCGACGGCCCCATCGCCACCGCGCTCGTCTACATGTACGGGCGCTCCGGCGGCCTGGACGCCGCGAGGGCCATCTTCGACCGTCTGCCGGACAGGGACGTGGCGCCGTGGACGGCCATGATCGCGTCGTACGCGCACAACGGCCATGGCGCCGCGGCGCTGGAGCTGTTCCAGCGCATGGCGCTCGACGGCTCGCCGCCCAACGCCGTCACCTTCAACACCATCCTCTGCGCGTGCAGCCACTCGGGCGCGCTCTTCGACGCGCGCGGCTACTTTCTGGAGATGCAGGGCAGCTTTGGGATCAGGCCGGACGCGGGGCATTTCGGGAGCATGATGGATCTGCTGGGCCGCGCGGGCAAGCTGGGCGACGCCGAGGAGCTCGCCTACGCCGCGCCTGGGGAGCCGGGCTCCATGGCGTGCACCGCGCTCATGGCCGCGTGCTCCACCCACGGCGACGCCCAGGCCGCCGGGAGGCTCTTCGCGTGGACGAGCTCCGAGGCCGAGCCCCACGCCTCGTCGCCCTACGTCCTCCTCCACAACATCTTCTCTATCGAGCCCTAGTCCGTACGTTTCGTGGGCTTGTGACAGCAAATTCCGTACCAACCGCCGCATTCCGGAGGATATTCTAAACGTCTCTGTACGGCAGATGGCTCCGTACTGTTAACTGTTGTACGAGGTGGAAGATTCGCAGTGATTTCCGTACCAACTGCCGCAACCTAAAAGGATATTCTAGGAGTTACGGACAACGAAGATTCTATGCACGGAAGAAAGATTCGCGGGTACTTGGGATAGAACTTCCCAGCCCTAGAAACAGGGCTAGGGCAGCCATGAACGGCAAGGTCTATGGCGTGCGCAAGGTGTTTGGCGCCTCCACCATGGACGAGGAGTTCGAGGTGAGTTTCGTGGAGCACATGTGGAGCACGCACGGCCGCGCGGAGGTGGCGAGCAGCGCCGCGTTCAAGAGTTACAGCGGCAGCAAGAACCCGGTGGCCATCGCCAGGACGTCGTGGCCGGGCTTCTCCGCCTTCCTCGAGCACCTCCAGGACGTGGGCAAGTGCCGGCTGCGCAAGGACGAGGGGCAGCGCTACGCCATCACGATGCTCGACCCCGGCTGCTCGCCCGGCGGCGGCAAGCGGAAGGCCGAGGACGAGAAGGACGAGCGCGTGCTGGGCGAGCAGATCCAGCGCGCCGCCAAGACCCTGCGCAAGCACCTCCACTCCAAGAACACCGCCAAGCCCGGGGAGCTCCAGAGAAGCGAGAAGGTGTCCTTCACCCTCCCCCGCCTCGCGGCCGCCTCCTCGAGCAGCAGCAGCAGCGCCGCCGCTGCCGCGGCGTCTGGTTCCATCGCCACCGCCGCCGCTGCTACCTCCACCGCCATCTCCGCTGCCGCCACCGAGACGAGCAAGAAGCAACTGAGCCCCCCGGCGCCGCTGTTCCAGGCCATCGCGGAGCCGCCGGCCAAGCCACCCGAAGCTCCAGCTCCGCCGCTAGCGCTCATGAGTCGATCCAAGATGGAAGCCATCACCCGGCAGCTCGAGGCCGAGAAGCTGAAGGAGCTCTTCAACCTGCCGAGGAGTCCCAAGTGGGTGGACGCCGGGCTCATCGTGAGGATCACCCGCCACCCCCCGCGGCACCTGGAGCGATTCGCCAAGCAGGAGGCGGTGGTGGAGGACGTGAACAAGGACGGTCTCACGGCGCGGATCCGGCTCCTCCGCGACCGCCACGGGCAGAGGCTGACGATCGAGCAGGACCTCCTCCGGACTGTGGTTCCCGGCATCGGCGAGCTCGTCCGGGTCGTCAATGGTGGCTTCAAAGGCTCCGACGGTACCATTGTGGACAAAAGCTCGCGGGACAAGACCGCCAAGGTATCCTTCTCCAGCGGTGAGTTCAAGGGTAGAGAAATCGCTGGAATCTCATATCGTGATATGTGCCTTAGAGATCTGGAAGAGATCGTCACCCCTTGGAGGCTACGACACCACAGGTAAGCTCCCCGGGCCATTCTTTGCGCGGCTGCTATGGCTATGGTGGGATCCCAGCGAGCTCTGTTGTGAGGCTTGCCACCACCTGGATCATGTTTCCTTTTCAATGAATCCCAAGCCAGGAGTTACTGTTCCGGTTCTTCCTAGATCTCGGAGATAGACTTGATCTTCCGGTTCTTCCTAGATCTTTGGAGATAGACTGGTTCTTTGGATAGATTGTCTGGAACTTGAGTCTACTCTTGCAGCTTTTGCTTCTTTTTCTTCTTCTTCTTCTTCTTTGTTGTTGTGGCTTGGATGTCCATGGCTTGGTTTTGGAGGACTTTGTTCTTGGTGAAGGCGTTCGTTCTACTTTCTTCTTCGTCTTTGGCGGCTTCGTTCTCGCCTGGGCCGGCTTCCAGCTGATCGGACTCTCGCTTGCCATTCTCGATTTGCTTTCGCAGTCTCTTCGACACTGGCGATGCGATGGAAAGAGCTGCTTGAGTGTGAGGAATGAATTTCGCTCCTAGGCCCAGTCTGTGAAGAAAGAAGGAAATCCATCCTCAACTGTCGATCGATCGCAGAGGAGATTTACCGCAATGGCCGTGCCTCCGGCTCGGGTATGGAAGCGTCGTCATCCTTCTCGGCGTCAAAATCGTCTCCTCCGCTCATCTTTTGGAGCCATCCCTTGGCCTTGCAAGAAAGAAACCAGAACGCATTGATCGATCGAGCATCCCTCGTATCCAAGCTTACCAGCTCAAATGCCGCTGGTTTCACGATCACTTCCTTGCCGCCGCCGCGGCTCTCACCGACTATCCCCGGCGCCGCCGTCTCCCCCATGGCGCTTCCAAGAACCCTAAAATCCCCGGCCTTGAATGCTCGAGCAAATACCCTGCCGGCTCAATCATCTCAGGACTCTAGCCGCGCCCCCTCTCCGGATCTCGGATTGCGCAGCCTTGATCCAGCACTACGCGCGCACGAAATCGCTGCTCGAGGGCAAATGCTTCCACGAGGAACTCAAGAAATCCTTCGATCGCATCGATCCCTTCCTCTCCAATTTCCTCATCCTCATGTATGGCAACTGCGGCAGCGTCGCGGACGCGCGGTCGACATTCGAAAGTATCGAGCAGCGCAATGTCTTCTCCTGGAACATGCTCGTCACGGCATATGCCCGGAACGGGCATCTGTCCACCGCGGAGATCATCCTCGAGAAATTCCCGGAGCACTGCTCGATCGCCATGAACACCACGATCACGGCGCATGCGAATTCCGGATCGCTCGATCGAGCCAAGAAACTGTTCCAGAAGATGCCAGTGGCGGATGTCGTCGCCTGGACAGCGCTCATCGCCGGACATACCATCGCTGGGCATCACGCGCAGTCGATCCAGCTCTTCCGGGCGATGTGCCTCGGCGGCGTCATGCCCGATCGCGTGGCGCTCATCAGCATTCTCGAGGCCTGCGATTGCCTCCGCGACGCGAGATCGATCCACTCTATCATCCTGGAAGCTGGGCTGATCGGAGATCCCCAGATTTGCAGCGCTCTCCTCACGGCCTATGGCAGGAACCGGCGGCTGGAGCTCGCGACATCCATCTTCCACGCGATGAAGCGCAGAGAATTGGTATCCTGGAACGCGATGATCTCGGCAGCTGCCAAGAATGGAGATCTTACTCTCGCAAGAGATCTCTTCTCGAGAATGCCCGAACGTGATGTGATCTCCTGGACAGCGCTCTTCGCCGAGGTCGCGCAAACCGGGGAGCTCGATCAAGCAAAGCATCTGTTTGATCGAATCCCGGAGCGCAACGACATCGCCTGGAACGCGATGATCGCAGCGTATGCCCAGAACGGGCATGGAGAGGAGGCGCTGGAGATCTTCCGGACGATGGATCTCGAGGGCGTCTTCCCAAACAGGGCGACATTCGTGAGCACTCTCGACGCGTGCACCATCTCCAAATCCTCTGCCAAGATGGGACGCTTCCTTCTCGCGGAGCTGCGCTGCCTTGGATACCATGGCGGCGACATCCGCCTGGACACCGCGCGGATCAATCTCCTCGGCAAGATCGGGAGCTTGGCCGCCGCGGTGGAGATCTTCGCGGGAGTGATCGACAAGAACGATATCTGCTGGAACTCGATGATCGCGGCGTATGCCACGAACGGGCATATCGAGGAGGCTATGGCGTCTCTCTCCGCCATGACTCTCGACGGCTTCCACCCCAACGAGATCACCTTCCGGATCGTTCTTGGGGCGCTCAGCCACGCCGGGCTGATGGATCCGAGCTGGGATCTCTTCGTCTCCTCCGCCAGGGATTACTCGATCCGCCCGGCGATGGAGCACTATGTTTGCATCGTGGATCTCCTGGCCCGCGTTGGAAGGCTGAGCGAGGCGCGAGATCTCATCGCGAGAATGCCATTTCATCCGGATCCAGTGGCCTGGACGGCGCTGCTCGGGGCTTGCAAGCTCCAGGAGGAGCGGGATCTGGGCGAGTTTGCCGCGGCGATGCTCGTGCAGCTGAACTCTGAGAACGATTCGCCCTACGTCGTCCTCTCGCATCTCTACTCGAAAGATGGATGATCGAATCTTTCGCGGGAACTTGGGAGAACCCTAAATTTTGGGCGATGCGATGGCGCCATTTACAAATCCGGGGCTTCTACACCGCCGAGTACATTGGCAAGAAGAAGAAGCTCGAGACCAAGTCACTGGCTGCCGGATGCCTGGATTTCCTCGCTCAGTCGCTCACCAAGATCCAGCCCTCGCGGATTTCCGCCAGCAAGGAGCAGCGATCATGGCAGGACGCTTGCGCGGACAGCCCCGACGATCAATTTGCCGAGGACGACGAGGAACCCAGGCCGGCGATCCCCGTGATTGTGAAAGAATGCTGGGATCCACAGCTCCGGGCGTCCGTGGATCAGATCCTCCACCTCAAGATGCGCGCCCATCCCTCGAGCTACTTCCACGCGATCCGGGATTGCACGAGCAAGAAAGCCCTGCTCGAGGGGACGATGCTCCACGCCCATCTGTGCAAGGGAGGATTCAAGCCCAACACTGTTCTAGGGAATCTCTTGATCCAGATGTACGGCGTGTGTGGCCGTGTCGACGACGCCAGGGCAGTGTACGACACCCTCGAGTTTCGCAACGTCTTCTCCTCCAACATTATGATCGCGGCATATGCCCATAATGGGCATTTGCAGGACGCCGTGGATGTATTCCAGTCTTCGCGGGCTACCAATGTGGTGACGTGGAACACCATCGTCGCGGCATATGCCCAGAATGGCGGGCTTGAGGAGGCCGCGGCATTGTTTGAGAGGACGCCGGATCGTAACGTGGTGTCATGGAATAACATGATATCCGCATATGCCCACTCTGGGCATCGTGGCGATGCCATTTTTCTTTTCCGGAAGATGGACCTCGAGGGCGTGGCGCCAAACCGGGTGACGTTTCTACATGCCCTAGATTCCTGTTCCAGTGTGAGCGAGGGTCTCTGCGTCCACGGAGAGATGCTCCAGTCGAGCGTAGAATTCGACGTAGCCGTAGGTACTGGGCTGGTGATAATGTACGGCAGATGTGGGTACGCCGGAGCTGCCAGATTCGTCTTCGACCGGCTCGGATCCTCCGACGTGGTGATGTGGACGGCCATGATCGTCGCGTACGCGCAGGCCGGTGACACGTTGGACGCCAGGTCGGTGTTTGACCGGATGCCAGCGCGGAGCTCCGTGACGTGGAATGCCATGGTGGCGGCCTATGCCTTTAATGCCAACGCCACGTCGGCGCTCGCGGTCTTCAAGCTCATGGACCTCGAGGGCGTCCCGGCCACGAAGATCAGCTTTATCTGCGCGCTCGACGCCTGTTCCAGCGGCTCTTTGCTCGCGGCGGGGAAGACGATCCACGCCAATGCGATCGACAGCGATCTGGGCGACGATCTGCCGGTGGCGAATGCGATCATCAATATGTACGCGAGATGCCGCGACCTGGAGCGAGCCAAGCAGAAGTTTTCCTCCATGCCCAAGAAGAATCTGGTGTCTTGGAGCGCGATGGTTTCGGCGTATGCGCACTGCGGGCATTCGCGGGAAGGATTCGAGACGTTCCAGGCGATGCAGCTGGAAGGATTGAGGGCGACGGAGGTGACGCTGTGTAGCGTTCTTGCGGCAGCGAGCAGTGCCAGCAAGTTCCTAGATGGGGTGACGTATTTCCTGACAGTTCCTGAGGACTATGGCTTCCAGCGGATCATGGATCACTACGTTTCCGTGGCGGACATGCTCGCCAGATCCGGCGTGCTCGATCACGGGCTCGCCAGCGCCAAGAACGACGTGGATTGTTTGCTTGCGGAGCACAGGCCGCTCGAGATACCATCGTGAAGCTCGCTGATGCTGTTTCTCAAGGATAGATCTCAAGTATCTAAGTTATCTAGTTTGGTGAGGCCTGGCACGCCCAAGGAGGACTCTTTGGCAAGCCTGGATATGTTGTCCATCAAAGATAAGAACATCGGAAACCTCTCGTCGGGAACCCCGCAAGCCATGGCAGCCTCAGTGAGAGTGGTGATCGGGCGTGGGACAAGCTCCGGTGATGGTCATCCGCGAGAAGAGCTGCTGGATGTATCAAGAAGGGACATCGATATCAAGAATGCCAGGGAACGTTGTAGCATTTGCCCCGCACGGGCATTTCTTCAGGGCTCTTGCTTTGCCTCGCCACCTATTGTTTTGATGGGATGGCGAACACGATGGCACTCTTGGCCACTGGCCACTGGTCGTGATTTGGTACATGCAATGGGGGCCTACGAGTGTCAAGGGCAGAGTGGGTGGGCATCTAACAAATTGCCTGGCTTGGGTATTTTGTGTGCCGTCACGATCGAGCGAGAGAAACGGTGTATAGCAAACAAGGTATGGCGCTTGTGAAGATATGGCGGCAGCTGCTGGCTATGGAAAAGGACGATCATCCTCCTACATGCTCCTTGCAACAAGCAGAGCTTGCAAGCCCAGCAAGCTCAAGAGTGGCGAGGAGCATTTCCCAGACGATGAACTCAACCGCTTTTGTCTGGCGGCACTGCAACAGGGCACAAGTAAGCTCGCTTTTAACTTTTTTCTGGTTTTTGCTTCCGAACTGACTGGCTGTTTGCTTTTCTTTTTAAGTTTGCTAGACCCGACCCCCCGGACTCGAGGACTGACTTGGCTGTGGTCGGCTAAGCGGAGATCATCCGCCAGAGGACGATGGGTAAGTCGAGTCTCTGGTTGTTCTTGAAGTGATTTTGGATTGGTTTTTGTAGTGGAGTGGAGCAATTGCTTGACTGCTGAAGAAGATGACCAAACTTATGGTAAGCTGTTCTTCCGTTCCTTAACGGGCTGGCCCTCACGGTTAAGTTAATCGGACCATCTGTGGCCGTGGATCGAGAAATGTTGCAGTACTTCCAGTCGCTGAGGATTCTTGTGATCCCTTCAACGTCCTCCTGCCTTCTTCTCTGTGATCTCCACTGTTCGCTGCCTCTCTTCCAGCGAGTCAACCAGGACGACTTGCAGCTCCTTCGCAATTTCATGATAGACGTGGAGTTACAAGAATCTTGCCTGATCAACAGCGTCTGGTGCAGCAAGAAGATCCAACTACACCAGTGCTTATGAGGCGAAATCTTCTTGATGCTGAAGAAGATGACGGTAAGCTATTTGTGCTCCTTTTGTGGCTTTTAGTGCTCCAGCGAGGAACACCTACGCACTGCAACTGTCGCTGGGGATTCTCGGTAATGTAAGCATGCTTTGCGTTTCTCTCTTTTTGCCAGCTTCCATGTTCCAGTTTCAAGCAAGAGAAGCAGTATATGGCCCTTGGTGATCACTTGGACTCACAACTCTACCTCGAAGGCTTTAAGCTCTACCTCTCTACTGCAGCATCCATCAGTGATTATCCAAGGATTACAGGTCTTTTGCTCGTGGATCTCAAGCTGTGAGATGCAGGTTTTGTATTCCATTTTGAAGTAAGACACATGCTAGCGGCATCTGGCCTTCATCCAACAAACAAGTCCTTGACCCGCTGGATGCTTATCTTGTGTTACGTTTTCCTGTCTCCACGCTTAACACTTGCTTGTAAAGGTTGCGTTGCCGGTGGTGGTCGTTCTGTTCTTTCCATCACGGGCTGCATGGAAGCTCCTCTACAAGGTGGCGACAATCCATGCAACGAGTAAGAGGGTGTAAGTAGCTTGCCGGGAAGAGGTGACTGGGAGATCATCGTTCCTGAGCGAGGAAAGCGAGGAGAGCTGGCTAGCTTGGAAGAAGATAGGCTCGCCTTGGTGATCACCGAATTTTTTGCCAAGGCTCCTATGATCAAAGGTCATCCGTTCAAGATTTCACAACAAGAACAATCTTTGTATTAGCTATACATACTACTGGTGAGTTTGCAGTTTCCTCTCGCTGGGTGATATCATCCAAAATTACCACTGCGGATGCCCTCTGGAGCTCACCACCTCTCGTGCTTCATCACTGCGTGAGAACAATGCGCCTTTGACTATGTTACAACGGAGTTGACAAAGGTCCTTTGGGCTTGATAAATGTCACGAGAGAGCTGTTTCACCGTCCCCAAGCTCCAGTTGAGCACGCGATCCCCGAAGAGCGTCCTTGCCATCCCCGAAACGAGATCTTTGTCGCCATCACCGGCCTTCGCATTTTCCGTGAGTGGAAACCTCAGCATCGTGGAGGACTGAGGCGAATACGTAGCTTCTCCAACAATGAGCTTGCATGCCTTCGTGAACGTAGGACTACACCTCTTGAAAGCACCTCTCGTTGAGATTCCTGGCAGCCACTGTGGGTCATTCTATGGAGTCGCACGCCAGCAGTGTGTTTAGCCTGGAGCAGCCGCTGGTCCAGGTAGAGCAAGGCAGGGTCAAGAAATTCGGTGGCGATGGCGCCCTCGTGAGCGAAGAGGTGTCACAGTTCCTCCTGGGTGAGCTTCTCTTCGAGATCCAAAGGCACGGCAGCGCTTACGGCAGTCTCAAAGGAACTAGGCGGGCATGGCTACTCACGGCTTTGCTCTCTAACTTGCTCACGCGGTTCTCTCCAAAGCCCGGAGAGCTCATCGAGGGCGAGCCACCGAAATACAAGGCCAGGGCCACCTCCGCTCGCTGCGAGCAGCAGCTTAACGGCGTGATGAATTGCTACACTTACGATTTCAAGCTGGACAAGAGTCTTCCCAGCGCTGTTCTTGTGGTGGTGCAAGGCGGCCGTGACGAATCCAAGTGGCCCGACTGCATGTACCAGGCACTGAGCCAGGCCGGCATGGCGGCAGCGATCAGGAACTCGTCGGCAAACAGGCTGAGGAAAGTCCACTGCCTGGTGCTCGGCGATGGTTGGTGGGGCTGTGCCGAGATCCATCCTCTGGGCTACGTGATGGTCAAGCCCGGAAGCAGGATCTCGAGCAGCAGCGTCGAGGAATTCAGATGCCAGCTTGAATCCAAAGGGACGATCAAAAGCGGTAGTGCCAAGCTCCTCTCGAAGAGCTTCCAGCGCTATCCAGACAAGAAGAGCTTGTTGGTGGAGCTGGAGGAACGAGTGAGGCTGCGAACCGAGGAGGCGGCCAGAGCACTCAACGCCAGGCTCGTTTTCGACAAGATTGTGCACAGCGAGGAGATAGAACGCAGCTTCTCGCCCGTGATTGAGAAGAGAAG